CAAGCTCTGAGCACAAGATCCATAGAGGCTGGGGTCTATCACACCAGGCAAGACCCCAGGTGCAAGTTGTAAAGATGCTCCTGAGACAATCCAGCACATAACAGCATGATGCATGTTGCTAGTTGGCAGGGCATACATGGAACGCAGTAACCAAGTGGCTGGCATAATATACAGAAACATCTGTGCCGAGTATGGTCTGCAAGTCCCAAGGTCAAATTGGGAGAAACCCCCTCGAGAATGACCGAGTTAAGATTCTGTGGGGCTTTTAGATACAGATGGACAAAATGGAGATGGCTAACCAACCTGACATTGTAGTGGTAGACAAGCAGAAGAAGACAGCTGTAGTCATAGACATAGCGTGCTGATAGCACTACATGTTATACACCCCCCTTGGTTGATGATGTTGTTAATTCTATGTTGACACCTGCTCCTCTATTCTGGACACAGTGGCCCCAGTAAAGTTGAAAAGTCCCAGATCTTCATCTTAACCTTGGTTAAATGACTCTATATAAGCCTTGCGACGTGTCTTTCGTCCATCTGAGAGGAATTGTAAAAAAGACAATCTTCAAGTATCCCTTGACACTCTACGCAGGAACCATTCTATATACCAGGACTCTGTTAAGACAGCTACAGCATTTTTCCTGTCGGATATTATTATAACTAATAGCCATAACCCCCGAATCCTGTTCAAGATCTTTAACTCTGTGATCGATCCTTGTCCTGGAATGTTGGATTTGGCCTTCCCAGCTCTCTGTGAGCAATTTTTAAATAATTTTACAAGAAAAATTGTATTGTTATGGGCCTCACTTTTACACCCTTCTGTGGTGAATCCTCTTCCTACTTCAAGATTTCTGTCGACTTTTTATCAGTTTGAGCCAATCCGACTCTCCAACCTCAAGAGATTAATTGAACAGCTGAGAAGTTCAAATTCTGTACATGACATTCTCCCCTCCTGCATTATTAAGGATGGTTTTGATGTAATGGGGCCTTACATTCTATCTTTGATGGACCTATCAGTACTGGTGGGCTGTCTCCCAACTCCTTTTAAACACACAATAGTGCAACCTGTTCTAAAAAACCCCCAGCCTTGACCACAATGAACTTGCGAACTATAGACCGATCTCCAAACTCCCGTTCTTATTTAAAGTTTTAGAGAAAATTGTATTTTTGCAACTACAGGCCTACTTAAACACAAATATTGGTGACAAATTTCAGTCTGGTTTTAAACTACGCTACAGTACTGAAACAGCTCTGCTGAGGGTCTTCTACAATCTTCTTTTAATTACTGACTCAGGTTGCCCTGCTATTTTAATTTTATTGGACTTGTCTTTAGCTTTTGACATGGTGGACCATAATATTCTTTTAAAGAAGCTAGAATATGCTTTAGGCATTAAGGGTTCTGCCCTTAACTGGTTTAAGGTCTTTTTCTGTTAAGATGGGATGTTATTCATCCACCATGGCTCCTCTTTGTTGTGGTGTGCCCCAGGGGTCTGTGCTGGGCTCTTTGTTGTTTTCTTTGTACCTGCTATCTCTGGGCTCTATTTTTGATATAAAATCGCTTACCACTGTTATGCTGACGACATTCAAATTTATTTTCAATTGACTGATGATTTGTCATTTTCACTGGACTGCTTGTTAGATTGCATGAAAGAGGTCAAAGATTGAGTGTCAGCCAATTTTCTTATTTTGAATGAAAGGAAAACTGAGATTGTGGTGTTTGATAGTCATATCCCTCGGGACCAGTTAGCCTTTCTATTTGGGCCCCTTGCCATCTTCCTCCCTGACACTGTAAGCAATCTAGGTGTTTTCCTGGACAGTTCACTTAAGCTCGATAAACAAGTGTCCCCAGTAGTCAAATCTGGCTTTTATCAATTGCGCCAAATCGCTAAAGCCAAACATTTTATACCGTGCAACAATCTTGAAAAACTTATCCACGCTTTTGTGACTTCCAGATTAGACTACTGCAATTCCCTTTACTTTGGTCTTCAATCCGTACACCTTCATAGACTTCAGCTTGTTCAAAATGCTGGGGCTCGTCTCCAACCTGAACCCGAAAATTTGCTTCCATTGCTCCAGTTCTTGCTGACTTACATTGGCTACCCATCAAATATCGTATTGATTTTAAAATCTTGTTGCTTACCTTTAAAATTTTAAATAATGTTGCTCCTAGCAATCTTGCCGACCTTCTTAGCTTGTATACTCAAGCATTTAGATCATCTGGTCAACTACTCCTGGTCCAACCTAGGTCCTGCCTAAAGACCAGGGGCGATCGTGCTTTTGTCTCAGCTGCCTCTGGAATAGTCTTCCTGTTACTATTCGTGCCTTGTCTGTGAAGGTTCTCAGTCATCCAGGTCATCGTAGTCAAAGGAGCTTGCAAAGAAAAGCGTCTGGACTTCTTTAAGTTGCTTGAAGATGTTTCACCTCTCATCCGAGAAGCTTCTTCAGTTCTAAGGTCAAATGGTGGAGAGTCCCAGATATAAACCTAGTGGGAGTAACCCAGTGGGAGTATTCGTGCCTTGGACTCTGTTCAATCTTTCAAAACATGGTTGAAAACGTACCTATTTAATTTGGCATTCCCCACTAGCTAATGCTCTTATCTAATCTATTTTAACCTTTTACTGCATTATTCCTGATTCTCCTAGATAATATTTAATATTTTGAATTGACCCTATCTCTGAACTGAGGCCCGATATCTATTTTATTTAGCCCACACTCCTGGTTTAATTAGTGCTTCCTGTCTGTTAGTATTAGTACTGGTGCTTGTTTTGTACTTTGTTAATGTTTTATATCAATGACTTATTGCATTATTGTGAAGCACTTTGGTCTACCTTTGGTTTTAAATGTGCTATATAAATAAAATTGTATTGCATTGTAAGGAACATGAGAAACTGGACCAAAGTATCAGAGAAGAGCTCAAGAAGATGTGGAGGGTGAAGGTAACAGTGGTCCCAGTGGTAATCGGAGTGGTAGGTGCAGTGACTCCCAAGCTAGGTGAGTGGCTCCAGCAGATCCCAGGAACAACATCCGAGATCTCTGTCCAGAAGAGCGCAGTCCTAAGAACAGCAAAGATACTGCGCAGGACTCTCAAGCCCCACACGTCCTGTAGAGGACCCGAACTTGAAGCATAGACCACCCACAGGGGAAGGAGGTAGCACGAAGTTGGACTAGCTGGTATATAAGGTAGCACGTTTTATTACAGCTCAGTACTAAAGTGGTAATAGTAGGGTAGTAATTCAGTAGTAATTCAGCAGTTATTACTTGGAAACTGCCCTGTTAACCTACTATTACCACTCTATTACTGAGCTGTATTTCTACAGTATTACACCTAATTTTTGAGCCTTTATGATTCAATAACATAAATTCCAGCATAATATTACTTTACTGTAATCAGTGTTGCTACAATGATAATACGTTGATGTTATGTGGTTATCAATTTATAACCAAGCTTTAATAGAAAGTGCAAGGAGATATACTAATCTGTGGCAATGAGTTAAATATTTTCAAATATTTTAATCAGGCATTCTAGATGGAGGTTATCTCTGCATGAAAACATTAATCAAAATGATTAAATAGTTCTTGTATGGCCTTCCTACATATGTAGCATTGCTTTGCAACACACCAAAGTTAAAATTAATTATAACCACACCTGTAACGTTGCTGATATCTCCCTCTGCACATCTTATACAGTCATAGCAGCAAACAGGCCTTCCTTTCTGGAGAACTTTGCGTGTTCCTGGGGGACATTTCTCACTGCAAACTGACACAGGAACCTGCATAATCAATAAATTTTAAATGTGATAGTCATAGAAAAAAATGTCTCTTTGATGTTCTAAAAAAACTCTTAATGTTGATGCATCAAAACCAAAATAAACAAAGTATGTACATATGTATAAAATTAAAAAAATAGAACAAAAACATAAAAACAATGAAATTGTACGATAGCTTACCTGCTTTGAGTTTCTTGCCCAAATTAAAGACTTGTTTTGCAGATTTAGCTGTTTTTCTGGAACTAATGATGGATTATAAAGACCAACTGTGACAAACTCCACAACGCCGTTTTCTCTTGACTGCCAGTTTATAATGTCATACTTTGCTGCTGGATCTCCATTCTCATCAAAGTGAACCTCATCTCCTTCCTTAGTTGTGAAATGGATCTTTCGTATGTGTTGCAGAACCTAAGAAATATGTTATGACTCAATTCATTGCATGAAAAAGATTTTGCACACCTACTGACTGAAAAATATACAGAAGAACTGCAAAATGAAGTTCTTGTAAATATTTTTAACTAAAATATCTTTTTAATAATGTATCTTAATGTGAACATTGTAATGTAAATTAGTAAAAAGCTCACCGTGAGTGGGTCTAGCTGCACAGTTTTGTTACATGTTTTATTACAGCTGAGGATATTGTGAAGTGCATGGGCCACTGCATACACTCCTTTGTAGACATTGTTAAAGAGAGGCATGAGAGACATGTCAATGAAGCTATTTTGAACTCCAGTCATATCTTCATGTCCAGTACACTCTCTCTGAATGTCTGATGATGACTTCAACTCCTTAAACTTACAACTAAATAATGTCTCCCAGAACTCAGTAAACAGTTCATTGTTTGATGAATTCAGCGGCTTCTCATTCAGTATGAACTCTCTCAAGCCAGTGACATGTGCTTTAGGAATGGAAAGACCTATGGCACCATCCAATATGTGATGTATGTCCATTTCTGCAGTTCGTGAATCAAATATCCAAGTCTCACTGCCTATCCACTGATACCCAGACAAGTTATAATATGAAAACTCTCGTAGCAGCACATGAAAATCTGCACGGGCAAGGAATGTAACAATAACCTTGGAGGTTGAAGCCTTTATAATGTCAATTATTCTTTGTATCTTGGCAGATGGATCTGTTCTAAAGAAAGATACTGAATACTCCAGACAGATGCCCAGCTGCTGTGCAGTTTCTGTGAATGTAGCCATGCCATTATTTCCATAATCACTGTTGGTTCTGATAGCTCCAACCCAAGTCCATCCAAAATACTTGACCAAATGGGCCAGGGCTCTGCTCTGGTAGTAGTCACTGGGTATTGTTCTGAGGAAGGATGGGTACTTGGTTTTGTCACTGAGACAAGCACATGTAGCAAAGTAGCTGATCTAGAATAAAAAATGAAAAACTTATAAATGAAAAAGACACAAGATGAAAAACAAATGAAACGGTTAAAAATAAAAGATTCAGTATTACTGTAAAAATACAAAAATGACAATTCCACTCAGTACTGAGTACATAAAATGTACCAGGCAAAGCTTTGATCTAAGAAAATAAAATATTTTTAAAAGTATTCAAAGATTTTTAAAAAAATTAGATATGTAAAATACCCACCACTGGTATAAAAAAAGGTCCGATGACAGTAGCTACTGCTATGCTTTTAGAAGAAGAGGTCGCTCCTATAATGGCCTGCACATGTGCAGGTCTGGTACACGGTGTCTTTGACGGTACAGACACAATTTCATTACCATTAGCTAAAGCCAGTGTAACTCCTGCACTTCTGGCATCAGATCCACAATCATCATAGATTTTATAGCCCACAGAGATTCCTGGCAGTAGGTCTGTACTGTTATTAATTTCCTCAATGGCAAAAAGCATAGCCTGGGCAAACTGCAAATCTCTGAAATTTAAACTTAATTGAGACAAACAATTATGAAATTTGCATTGCATTGTGTTCCTTAAAACAGACACAAATATTTATGGATAAATGTTTAAATAGAAACAAAAGCATTTCGAATTGAAAAGGAATTTAAACAACTGAGAAAATCAAAATACATTTTACTCTTTTTTAATCCCAACAGATTCCTTAAATGTAAATGGATTTGTATCTTGTCATTTACCTGGTACATTGTAGTGGCAGAGGTTTGTTCATGTAGGAATCTTTTCTGTCTTTCCAGCTTGCGTGAAAAGAGAAGATGGCACCCAATATAATATCCCCATTCTTAGATAGCAGTGGGTTCTCAGGATCTCCTCTCTGCCTGCACACTGGCTCCTCAGCAGAAGAGGCAGATGCCACTAACAGCAGTTGCAGAAGTGCCCATCCCTTTTCAGGCCATCTCTGTGTTGATGTCATTTCTCGAGCTTAACCACTTAGTGGCATTAGTGTACTGTAATGAAGATGAAATAGTTATTCTGGTATTTATACCTTTTGGTGCAGCATAAGAAATAACTGAATAGAGAGAGTTCATTCCCAGTTTCAGCAAAATGAGGGACATGCCCAACTTTGCCATTTATTCAATTCAATTCATTCTTTATTGTCCCACAAGGGGAAATTAGTTTAGCAGCAGGAGGATAAAAATAAACAGAACAATACTATAAAATAATAATAACAATAATAATGATAGAAATTCAAGGACAATTATTTGCCATTAAGGAGACAAGACGCAGTAGGGATAAAAGAGACCTGGAGTCTTTTAGTCCTCCTCGGAGGTACTCTAAAACGGCGGCCGGAAGGCAACAACTCAAACTCACTGTGAAGTGGATGGTTCACACAATTAATAATAGAATGAGCCTTTCTAAGCACATTTCTATTGTAAATGGCCAAAAGTCCATCTTGCCAGCGCCCTGAAATTTTGCTAGCAGTTTTTACCAGAAGTCCCAACCGATTCTTATTCTTCACCGTCAGGTTACCAAACCAGGCAGCGATACAAAAAGACATCACAGATTCGATAAAACTTCTATAAAACAAGGACAACATCTCAGATGAGACATTAAAAGATCTCATTTTCCTTAAAAAGAACAGTCTTTGTTGAACTTTTTTAGTAGTGGCATCAGCATGAGATTCAAAACACAGTTTATGGTCAAGTACCACACCTAGATATTTATAACTCTCAACGATCCCAATATCGGCAGTTTTAATGATAGTGGGTGATGAGCTATAAGAGGACTTCCTAAAATCAATAATCATGTCTTTAGTTTTTGACACATTAAGTGAAAGGAAGGACTCATCACACCAATTCACAAAATCATCTACAACCTGTCCATGGCCTGAGAAGGTAC